AGTTTCAGGGCAACATATGATTTATCAAATTTGGAAGGGGAAAAACTGTTTTAAGCATGTTTTTAAACAATGATAATTTGTTTGCTTTGGATTCCTGTTCCCATAGCAATGGACCTAAAAGTTGAAAAATATTGATATTTGTAGCTATTTCAAATCCTCAGTATGACTTTGTGCAGGAGCAAAGAATGTAAATGGCAACATATGTAGGAATGACAAGTCTTATTGCTTACAATGGTAAAAATTAAGAAACTATTTAGAATCCACGTAAATAAGGTCGTAGGTATGATTATATTTTGAACGAAATATGGAAACTAATATTGAGTGGACAGTATAACATCATAGGCGTCGGAAGCAAATTGAAAGGGGGGAGGAGGCTAAACCAAAAAAAAAAACCTTTGGGGCTCCAATTTTCATTGCCTATATTATGTCTATTTCTGCAAAAACAGGGGGGGGGGGGGGCTATGCCGCCTATGAACATAACAGGTCTACTACTGACTATATATCCTTGAGTTATCTAAGAGTATGTCATAATCACTTACTCCCCTAATCCAAAGAAAATATGACTTTACCCACTCAAATTCATGTCCAGTCAAAGCTCTCGTGACAACTTCCTCATCTGCAGAACACTTATTTACTTTATCATTTATCTGCCCTGGTTTCATCTTTGCAGAATAATTTAGAGAGTTTTGTAAACATTCTAACAGGTCTAAAGGAGCAGGAACTGATAAGATTACACACCTGAACTCTTTTGTTAAATATTCTACACGAAGAGACAAGATTAAGCCTATCGTGATTGGAAAAAAAAATACCCGGAACATTTCGGTGGCAATTTCAAGAGGGATACAGTGCTCTCAACAATTTGAATTGTAGATCTTAAAACGACATTTCATGTATATCAAATTTTCAACACACTCATACTACGTTTTAAAAATATAATTTCATATTTATAAATGTTTTTTTTTAAACAAAGCTTTTTTTCTGCTCAAATAATAAACCCTACAGGTAAATCAATAGTTAACCCTTTATTAAATGCATTAACACTTCACATCAGATATGGATTTTTAACAACATTATAAAATGTCCAGGTTTTAATTTTATTCTTAAGAAACATCGAAGAAGTACTGCTACATAGGGACAATAGAAGTTTGAAGGTGGACAGCTATATTTGCGGATGAATAAATAAAAAAGGCGAAGTTAACGAACAGCGATTGATCTAAGAAAAATCTACAAACAATACAAATCTGTGAACAGGGCATAAAACACGGACCCCGGTAATTCCAGAGGTGGGAATTTAGTATAAAACAAAGGTTTAACAATTGGTATGAAACATGTAATACGACCGAATGATGGGTTATATTTGCAAACAAGGTCATTGTATCGACAGTAGAATTTACGGAATGCTAACTTTAAACGAGGTTGTTGAAATCCCTGAAATATCAACTTATCTGTCAATAGCCTGCCTCGGTTTAAAAATTGTAGAGAATGCTCTTGGGTATCAAATAAGTTGGGAGACGTAAACATCATATGCAGGTGAGAGGGGAATATTACTACATAAATAAGGAAAACTGACGACGGAAAAGCTGAGGTCATCCAGTTTGTCATACAATTTAGTTGTTAGTTGGTCTATAGTCAGCAAAACATCCAAACATGAAAAAAGATGTGGCGGACTCTGTGATTTCTTTTATTTCAAGTTCACCGGGATATATCTACATCTATATATCTATATGGGATATAAGAATGGAAGTTACTATAGTTAATTGATAAATCGTCGATATATCTGAATGTCGAGTTGAAGGCTACAGAAAGTGTTTTCTTCTTCTCATGTAGAAGTTTCTGAATAAATTCTGCTTCATAGGCATATAAAAAACAGGTCGGCTAATAAAGGAGCACAATTAGTGCCAATCGAAATTCCAACAATTGGTTTGAAGACCTAGTCTCCGAAGACTACACAGATGTTGTCAATGAGGAACTCCAGCATCCTTTTAATATCAACTCCAGAGTACCTGTGTATATATAGAATCAGAATGATTTTTGACAAAGGACCAATCACGAGAAACGAAAATTTCCGAGTTCCATTTTTATTGAAGAAGCAGTGATCTATGATATCAAAAAGCTTCGTTTTTAATTTTTCGTGAGGAATGGTTGTATAAAATGTAGAAAAGTTGTACGTTTGATGTTATTGAATTTAGAAAAAATTGGTGATTTTATATTTTCCAAAAGCTCTTACGAGTTTTTGAGAACCCACATCTGATTTACACTACTTCTAAAATATGCTGTAGCACAGTATTTTTCTGAAGTTTCTCCTTTACAGGAGATGTTTTGTAAGTACATATATGTAGTAAAGATATGGGGGCTTGGGAGAGCATTTGATGGACCCGGTAATGTATCTTTGTAAGGATTTTTATGAAGTTTAGGAATCCAGTATAGGTAGTGTAGATCGAAATCACCTTGGTTGACTGGAATGTAAGTTTAATTTAAACACTGAAATGTGATTTTGAGGTATAAGCTGGATTTCCAGACATAGAATTAAAAACTTTTTCTAATGTTCTTCTAAAATACTGTTATAATAATGAGTCTTACAAACAAAGGTGATATTGTTTCAAGCCTTGTCTACTGGAAACACAACATATTGTTCGTGTAGTCTTTCTAATTTAAGCAATTACATATAATCAATTTTAATAATTTTTTTTTTTTCAACTGATGCATTATAATTTGAAAAGCCCTCATCAGGAGGTGGTGCGTAGTTTGCGATCCAACCCTTTTAATAACAATCGCGAAATTATTACTTTGGAACAAAATAAATTCATCATTTATTTGTTTAAAGTACATGTATATAATGCTGCCAGATTTAATTTACTTAATTTTCAACAACATGGCTTTTATAATAAAGCAGAACCCACCATAATGATAAATAAAAAAAATCTGGTTTAAGAAAGGGAGTACCCATCCCTGACCCTTCCCTGCACCACTTCTAGAAACTGGTGATGGTCATGATTTGATCGTGTCTCTTCCTTTAAAATTTACGGAAGCCAGTGTAGTTGCCAAATGAGAAAAATATTGTATCTAACTTCCACCACATAATTTTTAGTTGCCACCAGAAACTTATTTGGGATCACCATTTATTTATTTATTTATTTATCTATTATACGGTGGCCACATGATGATAATTTTACGGCCATCAGAAACTGATCTATAGCTGCTACAAGAGAAGTTTTTCTCACCTGGCAACTACTGGTCATATAAATTAAACTTCCGACGAAGGAATGATTTTAAACTCCTCCAATGTATTGGAGTAATTGCAATAAGGCTAAAAGATGTTTTGTTTGTAGGAACAATTAGTGAAACCGAAGAATTCTAGTATTACTCTGATATCAGATAGAATTTTTAATTAGTTTTATAATTAGATGCAGTAGCTGATGCCAGAACGTTACTTTTTGTCAATATCTGATGCCAACGCGACAGACAGCGCAGTTTTTACCAATAAAGTCAATTTTTAAAAAGAAGGTCTTATAGTCCTGCGCAGTTTATTCTGCATTCCTATATTTAAATGTTTACAAGTTATATTGCAATTATTGTTTGGTCAGCACTTTAACTTTAGTAAAATCAACTAATTTCGATATATGATGTTTTAGATGTGTATGGAAAAGACTACTTTTTAAGAAATTAGAAAATAGTAATAAATACAGATGAACGTAAAAGTTGAGTAATTTGAGTAAATTTACACTCAGTATTTATTTTTCGGAGATTTTATCTTTTCATGTTTTTCTGCATTGGTAATCACATTAAATACGGTATAGATATAGGTGTATAGATTTAAGGTTAATGCAAAAAATAAAGTTGGGTTGAAAGGTATTAAACTCGGTGCTTAAAATGTTTTTTAGCTATAAAAGAACATGCACTAACTGTTCTGCAAAATTCTATTACATATTTTTAGAGAATCCTATTGAAATATCCTTAAACAAAAGCCTTAGGTTTAAACAAGTCTACTGATACCGGACATACAAAGACCAAGCCAAACAGATATCTGGTTATAAGAACCAAAACTTTTTTGATTGGTTATTGACATTAAAAGAAGTAAACTTTTATATCTACTGATGCTTTCTCTACCAAACACATCGATTATGAAGAAAAATCAGATGGATTATTTTCTATCAAAATTTGGTTTGCTCAACAGTCGCAGAGTAAGGAGTTGATCCTTACGTCGCGGGTTCGGTTCCACTGTGTGAGGTGGAGACCTGTCCTTCGGATGAGAGCGTATAAACTGAGGTTCCGTGTCGCAGTAGGTGCTGGCACGAAAAAGATCCCTCATTGCTAAAAAATCGTAAATGCCGAGTACAGGTCTAAATTTGCAGCCTTCCACTGGCAAGTGGTGGCGTCTCAATATGAGTGAAAAATTCTCGAAGGGACGTTAAACAAACAAAAAAATAATATTCTCAAGAATGAAATGTAAAGTAAATGAACAGTGTTCATTCTCAAAAATCCATTTCAAAACAATAAAATTTATTCGCAGAGTTCTGCAAACAGAAGTGGAATCAGGTGCCATTGAGGAGTAAGCCTCCTCTCGACCGGTTACACCTGCGGTGTGCTCCTTGCCATAATCGGGTTAAGGGAAAAAATCCGAAAATTCAGTGTGAAAATTCAATTTCATGTACCATGAAAAAAAAAATCGCAAAAGGAACTGAGAGCCTATCAGGAAGAGTGATTTTACATATGAAATTAGTACCTCGAGGTCAAGTGCTAAACTATATTTTATTTTTGATTTCTTTAGCTATAAGAAATAAATAAAATAATACAAACTTTAAAGCACAAAATTAAGGTAAGAAAAAGGATGAGACCATTCATTCACGATAAAGTTGACTGATTTATTGATAACAGATTCTTAAATTTGTTTTGTTATACAGATAAGGGTTGGAAAGAGCAGCCATTGGTTGCCTTACTTCCGGGAGAAGTTCATATAAAATCTCATACAGTGTCTTTATGTTTCAAATTACTCGCTTATCATGAATTACTTCAACACATCATTGTTCGTAACCTGTGGGTTACTGTTATCTGTGCAATGTTTTCTTATGAATACAAACAAGCCACCATCAAGCATAGTCAGTCTCGGAAATGATTCCATTGCTTACTTTGACCAGCGTATGAACCACTTGCAGACACAAATTCAGTTGCAGAACAACACTTTGAAGACTCAAGCAATAATGATTGAACAGCTGCTCAACATTTCAAAACAGACGCCTTCGACACAAACTCTAAGCAATGAACTTTCTGTTCTACAAGTGTATGTACAGCGCATTATGGGTGAATATCACAGATTATCAAATATATCCGACGCAACAGATCTTGCTTTGAAAATCAACAATATGGCAAACTCTATCAAATTCCTTTCCGTAAGCTTGAATAGACAGGAGCAAAAAGACACTGACATAAGTCAAGAGCTAGCCTCGCTAAAGGCTACAATACTATCTGAGATGCACCAAGCTACAAGTCGGATCACATCGCTGGAATACTCACTGTCTTCTGTGAATCAGTCCGTAGCTTCTCTCTCAGCTCTTGAGCGTCAGAATGAAAACCAACTTACATCTATTTCGAATGACTTACAAACAACAAAGAGCAGACTGAGTTCTTTGCAAGGAACAATGGCGCATGTTTCAAGCCAAATTTCAACTTTAACCAATCAGTATTCCGATATTGCATCGAAAGTGTCAACTCTTTCAAGTGACTTACACAGTACTAGAAGTACTCTTAGTACATTGCAAACAACTGTGTCTCATAATCAACAATATTCATCAAGCCACATATCATCTCTAACAAATCAATATTCTGCTTTATCAACAAGCCTGCAAAAGATACAGGATAGAACTACTACACTGGAACATAATTTGGAGCAGGTATTGATACGTGGTAAGTATATAAAATAAACAATATTTTAAGAAGATTAAAGCATAAAAATCAATGGCGTTGTCACCCCGAACTGACCCCAACGTTGTTCTTTAATCCGACAAATACTTTTATTGCTTTTGATGAAAAAAGTATTCTAGTAAACAGGTAAATAAATAATTAAGATTTATGATCAATTTTTTTTTTTTTTAGATTTTTCAACACACAATTGTAAAAACATTTATATTTTTTATATCAAGAAAATGATGTGTAGGCTACAGCCTTTCCCCTATATGGAATATACGCCATTGTACGTACGTAGGTAATTTAAAATTCGTAGCTATAGTGAATGATGTTGACAAAGATTTCGAACCTGTTTGCACACAACATTTACAATTAGAAACATTACGCACACAAGGACAAACTAACCCCCCCCCCCCCCCCACACACACACACACACTCACAAGTGCGTTACTCTATCTCCTCCAACTCAATTGCGAGGGGATAACAAATTAACTATCAAATCATCTATATTGTTATTAGCAGGTTGGAATAGAAAGAATGATGAAGTGGGAATAGGTAGAGGACACCGTTTTACCGAATATTTTATCTAAATCGCCTTTTTAAACTACTTCGCCTGTCCACTCTAATAAATGGAATTGTTAGCAACTGTTCGTTCCTTCGCCAAGCGCTCGGCATTTTGAAATGCAAGTTGCGGGTCTTTTGGATGAGACTTTAATAATCGAGACCCCGTGGCACGATAAAGATCATCACTGCTCAATGGCCCTGAGTGCTGAATAAAGATCTATCTAAATTTTGAAGCCTTTACCGGTACATGTATTTGTTGACGTCTCTAAATGAGTGAAAATTCTCGAACGGGACGTAAAACAACATAAAATCAAACATGTCCAATTCTAACTAAGCCATTAACCGTGACTGGTAAATAGTTAACTGTTCTTATTATCAAATCATAAACAGCATGAGATAAATGTCAATTGTGCAATGTTGTATTAACAACTAATACAATCATGAAATGAATCGTCTGACCATCAAGTTACATGAATAAACAACAGTAAATTACGCACTTATCTCTTTCCCAAACTGCATATATATCTAGTACATCTATATGTGATCTCACCATACTGGATTTTTATAATTTGGGGCTAGAAGCCAAATAATTCTTTAAAATCCTTAAAGGAACTTGCAAAAAAAGTTTTAATTGAAGATTTCGACATGTTTGACGGATGTCAAATCATGTACTTTTTTTCTTTCCATCGTGAAACCTTTTAAAATACGCGCAGACTGCAGGTTTTGAAGGTTTGTTACATCTAATTACCGCGCAAATGATTTCCCTAGAACAATAAGCTAAGACTCGTTAAGCCTTACCCTTAGGCGAGATTACTCAGGAAAACAATGATGCGTTAAGAATCCAATTTAAAAATTACTACAGTGTAGCACGGTTTTTAACGAGTAATCGAGTAAAAAAAATACTTAGTCGATAGTCTGTATGATCAAACCATAGTTTAGTAATTGAATACTTGTTGACATCCCTGTTGTTAATATGTAGTAGAACCTACTTAAAATCTTAGTCAAATCTACAGATTAAATGGACTATGTTGCAGAAAGGTGTGATCGGTACAATTACATATATATTGCTTCAGTTTGTGGATAACTATTGCAAAGATAAACTGAACGATAATATTCACCATGGAAATTTAATGTGTAGATTTTCGACAATTATGTACGAGACCCATTTTCCTTCCGGACAAAACACAATAAAACTAAACCTATCTTTATTACATAATTATGTACATTTATACCGTCATGCTGTGCAAATGATTTCGAATTCCGATTTCATGGACCCTTTCATGCTGCTTACATTGTATCATCGAGAACTAAGAAAGTTACAGCCGTTTAAATATCATATATAGCCGATTAGATTTGAACACACCCGAATGTGCATTTTTGCTATACCGTATAACCGTATAATAATGTTCACCTTCATTTGAGTTTTTGTCTTATTTTACTGAAAGTATGAAAGTTGTGGCCATTCAAAACTTTAGAGATATTTATCGAAAACAGGGATATTTTTAATTTCAAAGAATCTTGTTAACAAAAAAAAAAAAAAAAATAAAAAAATAAAAAAAATAAATAAATAAAAAAAAAATAAAAAAAACGAAGAAAAGTTATAAACAGTTTTTCTATCTGCTAGTCAGAACAAAAGCACAAATGCATGCGCTTGCTTGATTGTTAATTCAATAACATCGTGTGTATAGACTGTTTATCTTTGTGCATGTAAATGTCGACGCATTTCATTTAAAAACATGGATCGAGCTTGTAGGTTTTTTAATTATCAAACAATGTTTCATTTATTGCATGTGAAAATGCATGCATGTGAAACCAAAATAACATTTATTCTGCATATTTACCTAAAATGTCTGTTTATTCAAAAGAGTCTTTCTTAAAAAGAATATAGTATACTTAACTTTCTGAGACACTCGCAGACAAAATAGTACCATATAGATATAGAAGGTAGAAATCAATAAGTTGCCAAACTAAGTTTGGGAATCATATTTACATGATTTATTTGGTATCGATGTGTTGTACAATGTTGATTAAATTAAGTGATTGTATTTATTCATTTTTATTTAAAGGTGTTAGACTTTCTGGAGGGAGTATAAGCGGCGAAGGAAGGCTTGAAGTTAATTATATGGGCAAATGGGGAACTGTATGTGACGATGCCTTCACTGACAAGAGTGCTCAAGTTGTATGCCACCAACTAGGATATAATACGTATAGCACATTTTATACATTTTATGATTATATTTCTTATCTTGCACGTGGTATCTTCTTTAAAGTCAAATGATTACAAACTGCATAATATTACACTGTTATCATTTCTTCAGCATAAGCCATATTTTAAAATGTTAAATGCAAGATATTCTTTTAATGCCTGCAGAAAAAAAATGATTTTGTGATGTTTGGATAGTTGCAAGCATTACACGTCTTTTTGGTTTATAAATGAACAGAGAGTCATAAGCTTCACAACCCAAATAACAGACATGAAAAGTTTGATCTAATTTTACTAATGCATCTTTACAAACATGGTGTCATTATAAAACTATTCAAAAGAATCTAAAATCCAAGAGAAGTGGATTACTTTGTATTTCCTGCAGAGCAAAGTGACACTAAAGGATCACTTTACCCAGCATTTGTCTTTCTGTTCCTCCGTTCGACACTGTACTTTCAAACTATAATATGCATTTACTACAAAAAAGTGAAATTCAGTAAATCGGAATCTGATACGCATTCAGAATCGTACTTTATATTAGGTTGTGTGCAACAAAGACACAGTCTGACTGAAATTTCTTTCAAGTAAAGAATCTGACGGATTTGTCATGTAGTAAATTTTGAATTTACTAGGAGGAGGTAAAAGTTATCATGTTGTAAATTTTGCATTTACCTCCCCCTAGTAAATTCAAAATTAACGTTAACAAAATGATAGATTGTTAAAATGAAACACGTTTGAATAAATTAATAACTATTTATAATAATTTCATTTTGATCATCATTTTACCTTTGAAGATCGAGGAATCGTATTTCTAATTGATTGTCACATTTTTTAAACTACTCTGTCGCAGTCTTACTATCAATGGATTTTTTTTGTCTCTTGCTTTTGTTAAAAGCAAGGGATTTTAATTTTGGTTTTTCAATGCGTCGTCTGTCCGGTTAGCTAGTTTCTAGATGATACCTAAAAAGGTGCTTTAACTTTTGCAATGAAATTAAATAATTCACCATAAATAAAAGAGGACACTTTTTCATTTTGACATCAAAAGTATTAATAAATACTTTGTTCTCTATAACTTTTTGCAATGGAATTTAATTTATTATATTTTCAACAGTGAAATACTGTAATTTATTTATTGAATAACAGTGATATTCTGACACAGTGTGAAAGGATATATCAAAATGGTACTCTCACAGTGTGAGAATATCAGAAGTGCGGCAAAACTCTCGATTTTCCTTCCCTTCACGAAGAGTGTTTAAAAAAAATCCCTGGCCTGTTATAAGATAAAGAGAGTAAATGAACCATCCTGTCAGAGACTAAAACTGCTAAAGTTTCTCTAAATATGTTGTTAAAAATCTATGTTTACAACGTTTTTCAATCTGTCAGCCGCTTAGCTATGACGTCTCAACCGCACAGCCTAATGACTGTAATACGAAAAGACAGAGGCAAAAGGAAAATCAAAGAAAATGTAATAAACAGAAAATCCAATGTTTTGTAGATGAATATGGAATTCGTGCTTCGCACTCGTGAAAATATCGAAAAAATCCTGTCCCACTCCTGAAATAAATTCCATAATATTTATCTACAAAACATTGAATATCCTCTATATATTTTACTCTTAATAAATAGAAGAACTTTGTTCTATGTAAATTTTTGCAATGAAATCTTACATATTAAATCTTAATATTAAATAAAAGAAGATCCCTATTAATTTAAAGGTCAAAGGTCAAGGTCAGAAAATCATATATTGCCTAACATGTTTTCAGACTATAACTTAAGTTCTCTTTGAGCAATGAATTTTTTTTTTTTTATTCCATAGCTACTTATGATTAAAAGAACAATGTTGTTTTGAATTCATTAATTAAGCTTATTTTAATTATCATTATGCGGGCCGGGGACGTAATTTCTCTGAATTACACTAGGGACCTATATAGTATATAGGTCCCTGATTACACGTACCTTTTTTTTGGCAGGCAAATACATGAATATAGTTTTCGTATGCAAATAAATGGTCAAGAACACTTTAGCTTTAAGCATATTTTAAATGATGCTAGAGCAACATGCGTTTCTGATAAAACTTTAGTTGTTTTATGGAATAATTTGTAGACACCACTCAACATACAAGGAATCGGCAGCGTATGGACAAGGGTCTGGTAGCATCGTTCTTGATGACGTGTCTTGTGAGGGTGACGAACGCTCAGTTGCACTTTGCAGGCATTATGGATTCGAACAAAATAATTGCCAACACAGCGAAGATGTAGGAGTCGTTTGCTGTAAGAGCTGTTGATCTTAACGTTCATAATCTTTCTCTCCAAATGATATTGCCGAAATAGGAATTCATCTCATTGATTCTCTGGTTGTACTGATTCTCAGTAAATAAGAGAGCCTATTTAGACGTTCATTCAGATTAACCCAAATTTTATTTGAAATCATTCCTTTCCCTTGAAACAGTATTTGCTTCATTTGAGCTCAGAAACATGTCATACATATATAAACTAAATCCCCTCGGTATTAAGAAGTGGGGAAATTTTCCATTTGAATAATCAATAACTTTTACAGTATACAAATATAAAATTTTTAATTTGCATTTATGCCACCTGATAAATTCAGAATTTACAATACAATAACAATTTTGTGCTAACTTCCTCATGGTCAATTCAAAATTTTATATTAGGCAGTTGCATTCCTTAAAAGGACCATACCTCTCTTACATGTATGTACTAAATTTACTTATTTATAGTTAGAATAAAACTCATTTAACAAATGTTTACAAGACAAAAGTTCTTGTTCCCTTACCTCTTGATTTCGCAATTCAGTTGCTGGAATTGTACGAGATATTAACGAGCCGACTTAACTTTTATTAATTTTAACATATTGTAAATACATCAAATTTGTAAACATATTTTGTTATGATAAAATAATTTTAAATTTCAGTCGACATACGCCTGGTTGGAGGGTCAACATCTCGAGAGGGAAGAGTAGAAGTTAAAGTAGGAGGCACCTGGGGAACTGTGTGTGACAATTATTGGGATGACAACGACGCCCGTGTGGTCTGTAGAATGCTGGGATACAGCGGGTAAATTATATGTAATTTAACATATATACACGAAAAAGACGACAGATATAGCATTTAAGAGCTTTCCTTTTATATTGCAGTCTTTTGGACGTAACATGTCAAGATCAATTATACGCGACTTTTATCATTCTGTAAACGTCGTTCATGCAATCAATTAGGGTGCGATGTCAGGTTTCAGGTAGTTGATTGAAGATAGGCAACAATTAAAATCTTATCGAATATACGGCACCAAAACCTGCTTGGATAAATAATCTGCTACCTTTTAAGAATTCCGAGAATAAATCAATAAACGAGGCCACATTTATATACCGTCTCAAATAGTCAATATTTTATATTTAGAGTTATTGTAAATTTTATCTTTTTCAGCACTGCAACAGCATATTCCAGTGCACATTTTGGTCAAGGCAGCGGAAGAATATTAATGGATAACGTTAAATGTACTGGAACTGAGAAGTCGCTTGCACTATGTCCGTTCAGTGGATTTGGACATGAAAACTGTGGACACAATGAAGATGCTAGTGTAATTTGTCATTAGATATTTTCCATTTTTTAAAATCTTAATCGGACAATTCTTGAAGCAAAGGTGACACATTTACACGTATTGTGTATTTCTTGTAAACTTTATTCTACCCAAATGCTCTATTTTTTAGTTATCATATTTTAATAATGATGAATAAAAATGTAACAATTCAATTTTAAACATATGGTATTCTGTGCAATTTCCAATCAAAATGTTTCTTGACGTCCTACAATGCAGAAAAAAAAACAGCTTCATGATTAAATTTAATAACAGTAGATTTCTTCCAAATGATAACGTTGTCTTATTGACAAGCGGAAAGTTTTTTTTCCAAATGTTCTTCAAAATATTTTGAAACTTTTGATATATTTTAAACAATTAATTTGTTTAATTTATACCAACCTCACTGAACAATGTTTTCATACAAAAGCGTGGGGGAAATCTGAATTGTAAATCTTCAAACTTTGTCTATGGATTGAATGTACTCTATGCAGGTTTATTTTTATTGGGAAATAGGTTTCACTTATTAACAAAATGTTAGGGAATAAGTTTGAAATAAATAATGGGCGCCATCAGCATCTTTATATGCATTTCAATTCGCCTGCAGCTGACCACTCTATCCTTTCAATGAGGGTTAAGATTTTAGGAAAAGAAAATATACCATCCAACCAATAGTCCAACTATAAGTGCTTCATCCCGTAGACTACGAGAAGAATACTGGATCAGGAAAGTTAAAGTTTCCGTATGGTTTCAAAATTTGGGGGGGGGGGGGATTTCCCAAAATATATCTGACAAAAAAAAAAAAAAAAAACTAATTTACTGTCAAAATTCTGGAATTTGCCTGTGTTCGACCTTACAGCAACAAAGAGTGGGGGGAGGAGGGGGAACCAGCAACTAAAGAAAATTTACTATAGCAAAATACTATACCGAGAAAAAGTGGAGCCCCCCCCCCCCCCGTTCCCTACCCCCGGGTTCTACGGGCCTGAGGGAATCCTTCAAGCCTACAGCGTGAATGTGATGAGGCTTTCTAACAATACACTAAAACGTATGCGTAGTCATGGACTTCAACCTTGCGCCTATAAACAATTAAGTCGCACTAAACTTTACTTGGTTCTCTTAAAATTTTCTGAAGAAGCTTGTGTTTGTTTGTGTTAATGGATGTTGCCCAGCTCAAGAATACAATGACAAACCTTATTTTAATTTTGGACCGGTACACAGTCGGTAACATTTGTATTATACACGTAATACCTGTATTATGATACAATATCATATCGTGTCAGCATTCCTAATAATACAATGTATCGTAAAATTTTTCGAATCATAAAATACTGTATTAAGAATAGAGCAATGTTATATTTCTTAATACAAATCTTAGCTGACCTTTTATCCCAACCAATCAGATGACTATGTATATACATGTACAGTATATATATATATATATATATATATATATATATATATATATATATATATATATATATATATAAGGTGGACTTTGGCATAAAGTAGACCGCACTTATTTTGAGGCATTAAGTAGACATTTTTCATTTCTTTTATTTGAGACATTCTGATTCACACTTTCACCCAAATTTATTCTAATAGGCTTCAATAATGAAAATTTTACCCCCTCAGCCCTAAATGTTGCTTCCTGAAAAATATACGACATTTCTGGTCTCCTTAATATTTTGTAAATACATTGGAGGTTTAAGGTAGACATGTATATATTTTATGAGGATCCCGAAGGGTTAAAGTAGACCAAGTATATATAATGCATAAAGGAGACCAGAATATATATATATACGTGATTATGTAGACCATTTTCTTTTTTCTAATTATTTAAATAAAAAACTACACATGCATAAATGTACTTCTCATACCAGTATTTATTGATCAATTTGCATTTATCTTAAGTAAAATATTAGGCACTTTAAAACCCAGTATGATGATTCCTTATTTTAACTAGAAGGATCCAATAGGGTGATGTCTATTCGTAGACAAATTTTCATGTCCTGAATCTTATGGAAATATAGTAAATGACCGATAGTAATTGTTATGTTAAGAACATATTTCATCCACCACCAAAGAAACACATTGATTTAAAACGTCGTAGTCACATGATGACTTATGGTATAGAATCATCATCTAAGCCACAATCACCTGTACATGCTAGATATGACCTCTTGAAACTATAACCTTGTACTTTTCTAAAAAAAAATTGTATTTTAGAATTTTATATATCCAATTTATGTCATACACTCTGAGCATAATGAACCCTAGGATAATATAATCTTTGAAAGTTATTTTATAGTGGACAAAAATTGAACTTGATGCAGGGTTGTTATACATCCCCAAGTCACAATTATCCCTTTGCCTTGATTTACATCTAGTATAACAATAATGTGATTGCCTGCTTGGTGCAGTGGTCAAAGCATTTGCTCTAGAGTAGTGGAGTAAGGACTTGTTCCTTAAGTCATAGGTACAAATCCCACTGAAGGACATGGAAACCGGTTCTTCCAATGAAACCAAATTCCCTTGTTGCAGTATATGCTGGGACAAGAAAAGACCTCTCACTGCTCAAAAGCACAGGTCTATATTTGCAGCCCTCAACCAGCAAGTTGTTGTGTCTCAATACTAGTGAAAAATTCTTGAAGGATGTATAACAAACAAATAAACAAACAGAATTATGTGTTTATCTGAATATTTATTACATTTCTAAACCCTATGGCCTTGACCTGTATTAACCTGTGTAAGGATCATACTCTGAGGTTACAAACAATTATTGGTAAGTATTTAATACTTTGATATACAGTGACTATGACCTTGTGCAAAAGACCATTACTACTGGGTCTAGAATATTTCTGGCCCCAAGCTACCTTTGTTTCAAAAGATGTCTACTCACAGAAGACACGTAGACTTCACAATTCCAGTAACTTCATTTGTTGTTGTATAAAAATGTCCATATTTCCCCATGCAAAAAAAAGTTTGTAAAACAACCCCTTTTCTTCTCATGTCTAAGATCTCTATCCTAAATACACATTTGTCACAGTCACTGTCTACTGAATTCATAAATCTAAAGGTAGTTCATACAGTCTTATTTTAATTCATATTCTTGTGTCTTTAACATCATTACACATATAATTTTTCCATGTTTGAATAGACAATAAAAATTGGAAACAATAAATACAATGAATTAGATTTGTTATAACTGTAACAAATAATGCAAATATGTGCAAGTCATGTAAAATTTCATTTTATTTGTAAATGTGTATTACATTGGTGACATTTGTATACTGTTCAATATATGCATAAGGACTTCTATTATTATCAATCTTCACAACATTAGTTTTGTATAAAGTAATAAATAACTAGTATTTTGTACACAAAAATAACATCAATAAAATAACAATCTTTTACATATCTATAAATACACATAAGAGGAATAAAACACTATTTTGAAATAATCATTACATTTTCATTTCTTGTCAATTAAAAAAAATGAATAGCATTATTAAACTATTACAACATGTTTTAAACCACAAATTTGTGTTCTAAAAATGCATTAGATACAAAGTGAGATGCATTGATTAACTGTTCATTGTAAGTTGAAATGAAGTTATTACTTATAAAAATACTTTACATAGTTTACTTAATGAGAATATTCCCTCCAACAATAAACTGGCAAGCTGTAATACAGACTCTGAAATACCTATACCACCTACTTCAAATAGTACAGTTTGCATTTCATCCATGAGATTATTGACCTTGAAAAATTATAAATGTTTTCTTCTCTTTGAAACGAACATGTGTGCTATGAAAGGGATATATTAAATAATGTTATTAAAAGACATACAAGTAATTTTTATCTTGATAAAAAATAGTGACCTTCTCATGTCAATTAAGAGAACCATTTCACACAATATGTGCTAGAATCTCATCTACAAGGTGTTGGCAGACAGGCTACCATACTAATACATCCCTATAAATGAGTTGCAAATATAAAAGAAGTACCTGAAAGTCATTCAGAAAAATTTTTAAAAAGCTGGCTTAAAGATGCTACATTTGTCAGCTGAAATGCATCTTTCACAATACATTCCTAGCATATAATTTTGTAGGGATGTCAAAATATTTATTTTTCTTAGTCGATTATTCGATTGCATTGTTCGAACGATAGTCGAATATTCGGAACATTTTCTAAAAATAAAATTTTATTTCAAACTTCACTGGTACATGACGTATTTATAACTCACAAACCCTTAATCTGTTTAATGCAGCGTAACGTTGGATAGCAAGATTATATGAAATAAATTTAGAAATCTAATATTCCTAAATTCATGATTTCTCCATCAATCGAATTCATAAATTGGTGTGTACATGCAGTTAGTTTTTATTTTAGTTAGCATTCAAAATTTGCTAGCCGATATTTTTTTAAAGCTTATTGTGAAATAAATTGGGGGGGGGGGGGGGGGGGGGTAATCTCACACTATCCAAACGCCAGGTGGCTGTTAAATTGTTAAACAGTTAGTTACTGCTTATTCATTTATTGATGGTTCTGGCTATCAAAATGTCCTTAATTATGAACAATTTAAAATGCAAGCGAATTGTTCTAATAATTATCGAAGCGTCAAAACATGTCACATGTTCCTCGCATTTGAGCAATCTTAAAATAAAAGATAATTGGTACATCGCATAAAATCAAGTCCAATTAATTTTTTTTTTACAAACAAAGCCCAGATATATGTTGATGGTTGATTTATTAGAAAAACAACACAAGCAGTAACTGGTGGATAATTAATTCTCGCGGTAGTGAAGCATTTATAATTACTGTACTTTCTATACGCACATGGAAAATCAAGTTTTTTTTGAAGAGGAAAATTATCTTATCAACTGTCTCCGAGGAAAGACGGTTTCTCAATTTTGAAATGAGAATTCCATATCCTTATCACTCTTTTATTGCATTTTTTTAAAATTATAATATTCGAATGTCGTTTCATTATTCGATCGTCGGTCCATTCGACTGA